CCGAACGTTTTGCAGAAAGTTCGGCCCTTTCTTCGACGAGTCTAGTATGCGGTTCGTCGTCGACCGCAAATTGAGGTCGAAATTCAGTTGCTGCCATCGACATACATCAGCAGCGATTCCGGTAGCTGAGCCCTTCGAGCCTTTTCCGGCACTCTTTTAGTTTTAAAGCATGATATGCTTTCAACGCTACACGACCCCAATCCCAAAATTTTGTCCGTTCGTGCATTTCCCGCTAAATCTAGAGGAGAAATTGATGTCACGAGACCTATACACCAATTGGTGGCGTACCAACTTGTTTTTGAGTGGGGGAGGGGGGGGGGGGGGCAAACCGAACCCCCTCCCCCCAGAACCGGGGGGGGGGGGGGCGGGGGTGCGGTGCCCTTGGTATCCCTTCGGCGCCGTCAGCCAGTGTTTGCCCTGCCCAGTGGCGGCTGTTTCAGGAGAGGGGGGGGGGGGGGGGGGGGGGGCAAAACACATGCCTTGCCCCTCCACTCTGAGAGGTGGGGGGGGGGGGGGGGGGGCAAGCGCCCCATTCGCCTCCCTCCGGGTTGGTACGCCCATGACACCAGTTCAGTTTCTCAGCTAAATTTAGCGGCAAAATTGATGCGACGTGCCCTGACGTCACGGAACATACAGACCACTTCAGTTTCCCCGCTAAATTTAGCGGGGAAAATCGACACCACGTGACCTGACGTCGCGTGACCTATACAACCATTCAATTCCCCGCTAAGTTTAGCGGGGAGGTATACGTCACGTGACACACCATCGCCTGTCCGCCATTGCTCGCTCACCTACTCTGTGCACGCATTGGACACGATGACTGCGTCTGCGTTCGGCTAGAGCTCGGCCATAGCCTACTATATAGTATATACGAACAAAGCCTGGCAGATCGCCACGAGAAGCGGCCGCCGAAATAGAAAATGTGGAGTGGCAGACAACGGATGAGAGGAGTGCCACGTGACTGGCGCCCGCTGCGGCGAGACGCCGAGGCACACTTCTCCCGAGCGAACAAGTGTGTTTCGGGTCCTCGCCGCTGCAAAAGTTGTGCGCTGACGTCCAGGTTCTCCCGAGAAATGGCTCTTTGATGCTATCTGCTACAAGAACCTCGCGCTCCAAATCTGCTACCGGACATATGTCTCCGTCGTCGATTTGCCAGGCTTTGTGAGTATATGTATATAGAGGAGGATATGGCTCGGCTCAGATCGTATTAAAAACGAGTGCCGCGTCAGCGTTTGGCGAGCACTCGGATCCAATCACGTGATCTGTGCGCAAGAAAAAGGCGATCACCCATCTTGCTAGATTGACTTTTGAAAAGTTTATAGGACTTTTTTTCTTTTTTCTTGTCTTTTTGGGTAGCATTATCAGCACCAGCACTCAGTCTAAGGCCGCAGTCACCCTGGGCATACATCATACAAAAGACAGGGACACGATGACAGAACTACCTCCGGACACATTTCGGGTATGTTCAAAGCATGTATGCTTCGAACATGCTTTTTAGCCTCCTTAGTGTACGTCGCATCCCTGGTTCCACTGTGAGCTTCAACCACTCATTTCTTTTCCTTGCTATAATAGAGTGGAATAATCTGCCGGATCATATTGTGCACATCAGTGACCCCCGACCTTTTTAGAAATGCCGTGTCATCTATACTTCATGCCTAACCGGCGTCATATCTTCGTGTGGGGCCACTGTTAAGGCGCGTTCACACTCTTGCAACCGAGTACGACCGAGAAAGACTTCTTGAGACCGGGTGCGCTGAGCGGAGCTGGTCCTAAGAGATCGCAAGAGGCTTAAAAACCGGTTTGGTCTCTCTCGGTCTAACTCGGTCGCAAGAGTGTGAACGGGCCTTTAGGCCACATCTTCTTCCTGTTTTCTTTTTTTATATGTATAAAAGTTCTCCATGTATGCCTCCCGGTACTGCCTCCCCCCCCCCCCCCTTTTTTTTTGTGTAATGCCCCAAAGGGGCCTTTAAGGATCAATAAATGAAATGAAATGAACATGTTTAGATACTCTTTTTGTATGGCCAATGAGCACCGTCCCCCCCCCCCCCCCCCCCCCCCCCAAGGCCGGGGGACGGTGCCCTTGGTATTTTTGGGCGCCGCCGGCCAGTGTCTGCCCTGCCCAATGGCGGCTGTTGCAGGGGGAGGGGGGGGGGCGAAACACATGCGTTGCCCCCCCACTTTAAAAAGGGGGGGGGGGGGGTGAAGCGCCCCCCTTGGCCCTTGCCTCCCCGGTTGGTACACTCATGGTCATATTCGTCCGTGACGTCAGATCTCTCTGCAGACCCCCCGTCCTGAACTGAACGGTTGGTCTTTAAATTAAAAGGGCGTCCCATTAGAAAGCCCGGCCTCGGGCGAGTACTCTCTGCCTTCCGTCGTGCTTTGACTGCGCGTGCACGCTCGAGAGCTGCCGCTATCGAAGGGAAGAAGCTCCCTCTGGGGGCGAGGACTACTGAAGCCCCTCCCTGTTATTTTCATTCTGCCAGTGGCTTTAGATGCAATTGCGCAAGAAACGTAAACTTCCCAGATTATCCACCGCAATCTGCCCGAACCATCGAACGAGGTGTCCCCACGCATTGATTACATCACATGTGCCCGGTGTTGTGGCGGTCGACGGAACCCCTCGAGTCTTTTCCATTCCTTTCTTTCCGTCGGTTGATGTAGTCGCGCAGCGTAATTTTTGCTCCGAAGGAACGGGAGAACGCGGAAGGTACCAAGTCTCTCTGCCTCGGAGCGTCGCCGGCCTTCGCGCTTCTTTTAGCCGAGAGTTCCGTTTACAGACGCGTATATGCTACTACACGCGGTAGGTGGTCTTGCCCGTGGCGTTTCGGGAGACCAACTTAATTAAATGGCGGAGGCGCAGCAGCTCCGTTACACAATTGTTGTGACGGCCAGTGTGGGATTCGGAGAAGGGCTTCCCTGTCGATAAGTAGAAATACACGCCTTTGCGCGGTGATAAGCTGCTCGTAAGCGTGTCTGTACTGTCGGAACAACAACGGCGCAAAGCTTTTCTTCGTGTGCCTTCATTGAGTCATTTAAGGGGCCCTGAGGGGGTTTCTGAGATCCCCTAAATATGACGATAAAGGCCCGTTCACACTCTTGCAACCGAGTGCGACCGAGAGAGACCAAACCGGTTTTTAAGCCTCTTGCGATCTCTTAGGACCAGCTCCGCTCAGTGCATCCGGTCCCAAGAAGTCTTTCTCGGTCGTACTCGGTTGCAAGAGTGTGAACGCGCCTTAACTCTCTCTGCGGCCTCTAAGCATCCTAGAAATCCATAAATCATAACGATGCGCGACCGATTTCCCTGGTAAAAAAAAAAAAAAACAATAAAAGATTGTGGGGATTGTGATCCCTCAACATTCTGTCGCGTCAGCGTTTTGGCGCGCCGTGGCGGCCGCGCTGGCGTAGCGAGAGGCGGCGCTGCTTACCACTGTGAGTGGCTTCCTCCTCTCCCCCCTTGGGGCGATTTCCGTAACGAACCCCCGTACAAAGGAGATCGACGTGTCGCTCCTTGATTGGCCACTTCGCCCCCGCCGTTATCTTAAAACCAGCGGACAGCGGTCTCGCTTCTCTCTTCTTCCTGGGATTCGGCGGCGGCGTCAACGGGGACCCTTCCGGCGCACCGGTGAGCGTTTACCCCGTCCTTTGTACATTTGTGAACGACCGTTCGGCCGTGGGCGATCTCCACACCGACGGCGTTCACCAGCTTATAGCCGCTGTGTTGTTGTTATTTGTTTCATTGTAAATAAACAGTTTATCACCGTTACCAACGTGACTGGTGTCTGTTTGCGCTCAACGAGCAGCATGCCACGCGAGTACGAACCCGCTTTGCGGTAGAGCGTCTCGCCGCGAACGTGGAACTCCCAAAGGCAGTGGCCCTAAGGAGAACCACAATTTGGCGCCCAACAAAAGGGCTGACGACCAGAACCCTGGTACGTCTGTGTGTGGCGACTGCTGCCGAGTGACGAGTCCTCGCGCAACCAGCGCTTACCGTGACAATGCAGACCGACTTCTCGGATTTGCTCACGCTGGCGACCGCGGCCGACGCATTCGCGCGGCCCCCACTTCAACGGGAAGCCGAAATGCCAACCCTCCAACGTGAAGCGCCCTACGACGCACTCCTGGAGCCGAGCGTGGTTCCGACGCCATTGCGGACGGGCGCCATCGCTCCCGGATCTTCCCCGAACGCACGTGTTCCGC